CCTACGGTTTATAGTCCTTATCCGAGAAGACTTGTTCTACCACCAGAACCATAGGCGAGCGTGCCGTTCGAACCAGCGCCGATATTATGGCTATAGCTTGCGGCGCCCCTGCTAACCGCTCGGCCATTCGACTCACCAAAAAAGAAAAAAATGAAAGCCCAGAAAGCCACAAATGTTATTTTTGGGCGTATAGAACACAAACATTTCGCGGGGACATGCCGCCGGACCCCCTAGGACAGTGTTGTCTCGATCAGCCCAAATTTCGCCGCCCCCCCCCCCTTTTGGACATTTCTGGATCCGCCCCTGAGTAAACAGAAAAATACAACCAGAATTAGGAGGAAATTGTCATATATTCACAAATGACTCAGTCTGCAACCATAATAATATACTAAATTCTAATAACATTAAAAAAATGGAGAATCTTCATGTTGCATACAGGCGATTTACATGTTGGATCTGGCAGCTAGTTGGCCGAAAGAACAGAAGAGTAATACCATGCATGTGCAATTTCTACAATATGGAAGATTTCACTGGAAGATAAACTGGAATTCCTAATTTTAACATTACTGCATAACCTACATTAAACTTCTGTTTCATTTAATTCTTGACTTCATTTCCATAATCAGTGTAGCATTATCAGTTCAAATAAAAGAATTTGTTATATGTTATCTTTTCTTCAGTGTTAGGAAACAAACTGCAACTTTTGCTTTCCTTCACTGGTTAATGCCTGGTGGTTTTTATTTTCATCATCTTCTATAACAATGTCAGTTATCAATTCCCTAACATCTTTCTCCTTATTTGCATCTGCATTTAGTAAGGTTTCTAGAACAGTACCTAGCAAGTAAAAGAAATAATAAAAATGTCAATGCCAGACCCACCACAAATTATTAAATTAGGCTAACCTTACACAGATTCACCAAGTTAGTAAAAAGCATAACTGTAAACCTGTCTCCAAATATCCGTAGTAAATGCAAAATTTTCGAAACACCTAATAATTTGTCTTGAATGCAAACAATTATGGGTACAGGAAAATTAAAATTGTGGAATTCTAAACAGGCCATTTTTTTTCTTTATTTTTTGCAATAATTTTTCTTTTTTTCAGTCTGACGAAAAGAGTTGTCTAGAGACAATGTAATCCAATTTCTTGATGGTAAAATAATTTGTTCTTGAAATTAGACCTATTTATTTATTTATGTGTATTATACGCATAAATAATAGATAGGCCTATGATAAATTTCTGCAGTAAGCCCTAGTAGTACTATAGTAGTATTTTTTTCTATTTCTATACATCCGCATTAATTAGGAAAATATCTATACAACTATCTCGATAATGATATAAAGAATACGGCGCCGGGGACAGGAGCTTAAGTCCCCCCACCGGACAGGTCAAACCCCTCGCCGGACAGAGATCGTCGGGCAGTAAGACCATAAAACATAAAATAGGCCCACACTAAGGCAATACATGTCTGTTACAGTCTGAGGGTGCCATTTCCAGCCATCCACAGGCTGCCATTCTTTAAAAAAAATCTCATTTGAGAGGGAACACCCTCTCAATCCCTTCCCCCAGCTCAAGCCTACTAGCTCAAGTCCCCCTGTCGGACAACTTAGCCCCCACCCCAGAAAACATATCCTAGAGCTGCCACTGACTCTACATACAGTATGTGGATACACTTACGGAAATGCTTACACACACTTATAAATCAAATAGAAAATAGCAATACTGTAATTACACAACAGAACAGACTAAATTTAAAGTCACATCTCCTTTTTCATAGATTTTTTTTTAATTTTTTTGCTGATTAGGATTATTATTGCGTTTCAAAATTAACTTGCTCATTGGTGGCGCTGTCCAGAATGAGAAAAATATTAAGGGACTTAGCGGAAACTCGAAGTACCACTGATCTCTACTATAATAGCTGGACTGGGTTGCTCATCGGCCAATCATTGTACAGAAAAAGTGAGCCCACCGACACCAAGTTTCTTTTGACATTTGTTTAAATTATTGTTAATAGTTATTTTTGCAATATTTTTTAATAATAAATATTAATTTTAAAGTAATTTTTTTTCTTGTTTAAAGACTAATTAAAATGATGCATTTTGAGTTGCTGATAATTGAAGTATTGCATATGTTTATCAAAGGAGTATTAATAAAATTCTTATTTTTTGGTTTATAAATATTAAAAATTAGTATTAAAAATATTCGTATAAGCCCCGCCTACTGAAGATGGTCAGTGAAGCGTGAGTAGAGCTGATGACGTACGCTCGGTATAACATCCACAACAATACCGAAATCGTATAGCGCGACACATGAAAGAGGAAAGCAAGCGAAGAAATGGAGCAGTTTGAGCCATACCAATTTGAGCCACTAGAAAGTGATTTTGAACACGAAACACCTGAAGACCAGGCTTTGATCGAAAAGCAACATCGATTAGGCAACACTAACTGGTAACTTAAACTTTACGAATTGAGTACTACACTACTGTGTTCTACTAGGGCCGACGGCCGCCTTACTTAGGCCTAGCATAACACTCTACCGTCACTGCGTACGAAGGGTTACTGTTATTATTAATAATATACATTGTTTTCGTCTACATTAGCATACAATTTGTACATAACAGATTCTTATGCAAAATTTTACATTACAATTTAATTTAAAAAGCTGAAACTGTCGATTTCTAAGGTGTACTGTATACGGCCTAGGGCCTAGGCCTTCGATGACAGTAAACGAAGCGCCGATTCGGCGATCATCACGTCACGTTGTCAATTGCCTTGTTCATGTTACCGACTACAATAAAAGTTAAATTTCTTATTTTAGTTGGTATATACGAACTATATAATACTCACAAATCGTTTTCGAATGTTTATATAATTACTATTGGAATTTCCAGCGTATGATCACCCTATGCCTTGACTGGAAATATCGTAAACAAGCACTCATCGCAAATATCGCCGACGACTTATAGCCTATTTTAACCTGTAATCAGTTTTATATAGGCCTACTGATTTTTTTTTGTTTTGTTTATTAATTCCTCCGTGATTTTTAGTCCTATTTTATTTATTTTTTATAGATGATCAATACAAATTACCATAGATTTATTTTTATGGTAAAACAGGTGCAGTAGTTAGTTATTTTTAATCAATGAATACTCATTAACATAATTTATATCATACGACATAATTGAGGGGACCTCCCCCGTTTTCCACTAAATTTCCTTCCCATCACCAGAACTGGTTGATGTCGTGCACCAGTATACATGGTTGACCATGCTCCGGATCCATGGCTTGAGTGATTTGCCGCACACTAGTTTTGTCACAGCGTCAATTTTTTTTCTTGATTCCTATAAGAATATCATAATCATATTAAACGATAGAAAAAAAATATCATTGACAAAGAAAAATTTTTAATTATTTACTAAGACAGAAATTCAATATACTTTTAGCTATATGCCAGATGTCAAATTTGTGGACTGTTCCCTCCATGTTTTCTCTCACCCACTTCTTGATCGACGAATGGCGATCAGTCACTAATACATCAACGTGTACTCCATCATCAACTGTTAACGGCTCTCACAAGGCCTTCCTTCTCCATAGCGCTGCTTGAGCCAACCTCATTTGACTAAAAAACATAAGCAATAATACAATTAATGTTCAACTGAAAAATTGTGTTTGCATAGGAATTAATTACAAAAGTATCTTGGAAATTTTTTTTCAATCATCTTAAATATACCTGCACAAGCTGAACATCAACTATTCGTCCACCATTTAGGTCCATTAAGGTATAGCACCCGTACTTGGCTGAGTGTCCTGGTGAGTCGCATCGGCCATCACCACCAAGAACTATCTTTTCTCCTTTTGTTAGTTCTTCTATCCTTTTCTTTCTGTCTTCTTCCCACAGGGTCTCTATGCTTGGGAGCAGGAAATTCCGTTGGTGAATGAAATATGCTTGCACATCTCAGATGCCTTAAAAACCTGAGTGATTTGGCAACACATGAGCCGGAGAACAAGATGGCTGCAGATAGCAAAATGTTCCCTGCAGGAGTGTTCTTTATCATGGGCTGCGATTCCCACATTCTCTTGAAATTGCAAGAAGCACAAACTTGTCTAATTCTGCAAAATGTACCCTGCACAGCACACACTGAACCCTTTGCTGGTGAACTGCAAACTGGACACAATTGAAAGGCAGCTAAAAGTTGGTCCTCGTACACAAGGAACTTTCGACCTTTGTACACATCACCTGCTACATGGTCTCTGAAAAATATTGAAAAAGTTTAGATGAGATGTGAGAAATCCTGCCATAAAAAGGTTTTCATACAACAATAACTATAATACAATACAATAAACCAACATGGCGCATTGACAAGTCTGAGCTATAGACCAAGATAAATAACCAGACAAAATAAATAAGAAACACAAATGCCAAAACAATAGCTAACCGTAAAAATAACAAATTTTCATTAACATAATAGTGTTAGACCTGAATGCAAAACAACAATAAAAAGAAATCAACTCACACATCATCTTCACCTTGATCAGCCTCCATTTCAATATCATCAAATGGTTCATAGTCTGGATCAGTAGTGCTATCATCGTCCTCTGAATCTGCCTCCTCCGAATCTGTTTCATGTTCTGCCTCATCTTCTGGCTCACTTTCAGCTTTATCTGCTGACTCGCCTACAGTTTTATCTGCCACCTTGTCCAATGTATTTTTAGCGCCACTTGTAATGGCATCTGTAGTATCACATTTGTTAGCATTGTCAGCAGCCACTACACTAGTATTACCATCATTGCCACTGAAATCACAGTTATCCACCCTAATGTCTTCATCATCAGGGAATATTTGCATTCCTACAAAATAAATACATAGTATGTAGAACATGCCATGTCAATTCAATGAATTAAATTTTTGTAAGATGTAGATTTTAAATGAAACTTAGGCCTATTTATCATTTAATAATTTTACAGGTACATCGGGATTGAAGGCATCTTTCAAATACAGTAATTACCTTTATCAGTCATACGTGTGCGGAACTGGACACTGAAATTGACCATCTTAACATTTGGCTGCTTGTGAATGCAACACTCACAGTGGTGCGGTTCAATAGGCTCGGTCTGAAACAAAATTGGATTAAATAGTTTGTTTCCATGTATTTGGCAAATTAATTATAGTACAAGTACATCATGATTTGTTCTAAATGTAGTATTGCATCACATCATAACATACAAACAACTCCCTGAACATAGTGTATAGGCTGACTGATACACACCAGTAGTAATATTAATTAGCTTGAGAGTATTTCTATATAATGCAAAAAAAAAACAAAATACCTGGATTTGTGCTTCATTGGAGATGGGCACATCTTCAGCTGATGATGGACTTTGTTCTAGGTCTTCAAGTTCTGTTGGCACGCCTCGGCCTATATCTATCTCATTCATAACCTACCAAAATAAATTACAGTATAATCATTACAAACAACAAGTTAGAACGTCTGTTCAGTCATGTCTATAATTAGGCCTATACTGTGTAAAAAGTATAGGCTAGGCCTAGCCTCCTGGAGTAGAAGTAATTTGCCTGTGTGTAGTAGTAGTAGGGTAGCCCTTGCCTATAGGTCGCGAAAGTGCTGGGCCTAAGTAGATTAGATAGTGCACACTGAGGGCTACACCACTACTAGTTCCGATTAAAAAGAAGAAAAAGGCCTAGGCCTAGCTAGGCGGGATAGGCTAGTGTGATACTATATAGCTACCCAGCAAACACAAAACGTTCGCGAACGTTGTGGTTAGGCCTAGCCCTACTATGTCACAAAATAATGTTCACACAATGTTGTAAAAACGTTCAAAAGTTGTGAAATTATAGTACGTACATATGGTTCTACAAAATAACGTTTTTATCACCAAACTTTAATGTTATTAGAATGTTCTTAGAACGTAATATTGTTAGCCGGGTAGGGCCTAGGCCAACGCAACGTCGCACTCACCCTCGCTCTTTCCCTTTTCTCATAGGCCGTTGACAGACGACGTTTCTTCTTTTCGTTGCAAAGCAACTGTCCTGGGCGACTTGGCTTCGTAAATATACTAGGAATTGCTCCTTTTTTCAGTCTCATGGTATTACGACCAGACAGCCCAATACTTTGAGCTAATACACTTCTCGGTTCGTAATCGTCCGGCGCAAAATGCTTACTGCATAAAACAGAATAAGCAGATCCTTGGAAGTGAAGCCTGGTTCTCGAAACTGCTTCATTCCACTTCTTCCTTAAAATTTCATCCTTTGGAAACTGGTGGAAACTAACATTGTGTGAATGGTTGCTATCACAACCAGCAGCCACACAACGGGGCATACTGACACTTTGAATTAACCGGGAAAACTTTCTATAGAACTTTGTTTTGTGCTGAATACTATCGATCACTGTATGTTTGTGTAGCCAATGCCGCGAACATCGAGTGTTTTGTTGTACAAAGTGTATGTCATATCCGGTAAAGGTTAAATGTGGGTCAAATTCAGAAGGCGGGGCTTAAGACTACAGAATTCATAAAAATAGGTGATTTAAAACTCGTTTTTCAGAAAAACGCATTGTCTAAAAATAAAAGGAAAGCCACACATTTATTTATTATATAATTCTTTATTGTTTTATGACATTTTGAAAGTAACAAGAACATGTCATTTTAGATGGTCTTTAAATGCCAATGAAGCATGGGAATTTTGGAAAAACAACGTTATTGCTTCTGCTGAAAATTCGATAGGTCACAAAAACAACGATAGAAAACGCAAAGCATGGTATGATGAAGAAATTGATAATTGTATTGGGAAGAGAAAGGATGCTTGTAGATTACATCGACAATATTGTAAATTACAGGGTAGTGAGTCTTAAATTCAAGAAGAATGTGACTCATTGTGGAAAGATTATCAAGAGATACGTAAACAATGCAAAGCCTTAATTAAACAAAAGATCTTACAAAAGAAAGTAGATAAATGCTCTGAAATTATGAATAGAGGAGGGGCCCAATGCAAAGATTTCTGGTCAGAATTAAAAGGAAAACCTTCTACTAAAACTAACTGTACTATAAAAAAGGTGACTGTAGAGATTTAAATAACTACAGGGGTATAACTCTAAACTCTTCAGTTTCAAAGGTATATAATAAGCTTATCTCCCAAACGGTGTCAAACTTTCTTGAAGAAAATGATTTACTATCAGAGGTACAAGGGGGATTCCGCAAAGACAGAAGGTGTGAAGATCACATTTTTATTATTATTAGTATTATTGCTTGTAGACAAGCGGAAAATAAAAAAACATACCTTGCTTTTATGGACTTTAGGAAGGCTTTTGACACCGTTTGGAGAGAAGGTCTCTTTTATGCAATAAAAAATATAGGCATTAAAGGTAATCTATTGAACATTATTAAAAACTTATATAAAGATGTAAAAGGAAAGGTTTCATTTGGTGACCATGAAACAGATGTTTTTAATATTGACGAAGGTGTAAAACAAGGTGGCCCACTATCTCCAATTCTATTCACCATATACATTAATGAGCTCAATAAAATTATTAAGGAAAGAGGTTTAGGTATAAATATTTTTGATGTAAAAATCGGCAGTTTATTCTGGGCACACGATATTATTTTAATTGGAGATAGTGAGCAAGATTTAGAATTACTTTTGAATGCGGCAAATGATTTTGCTACAAAATGGAAAATGATTTTTAATTTTGATAAGTCCAATGTCATTGTAACTGGGCAACGCTTTAATATATATAGGAAATGGCCAGTCTCTTATACACATCTAGATGTGTATAAGAGACAGGTCATGCACTCCCACACACAACAACATCGTGTATGTTGGGATAAATCTGAACTGATAGCCACTGTACCATCTTGGCATTCCAGACGGACCAGAGAAGCTATAGAAATTCACAAACACGATACAGTACATCAAAATATCGGATTTGTCATCAGCGATAACCAATGCTACAAAGTCTTCCCGCCACACTGGAAATCATGCCATTGTTTTTGGCTTTCCTTTCACCAGCTAAAAACATCTCCCACTGTCTAGCTTTCTAGACACGCTCCACCCCCTTTTTGCACAAACTGAATTTTAGCTTTTTTTTAGTAATTTCACACGTAGTCTCAGCTATTGTTTAGTTTTGTTTTCAACTAATCAGCAACATGTATCACTCCCCAAAACATATAAATATTTCCATGTTTAGGAATTTTTCAGATATTATCCTGAAGACGATTGAAGCAACTGAAACTCGAAACGTCAAGATATTCCCAACAACAACAGTCCTTTCAGTACTATCTACGTGGTGTACGGCATGTAAATTTTGATACAATTCAGCTTGTGCTGCTAAATCAAAATGTTTTTATAATAAACAAGTATAAATAAATAAATTTTAAAAAGCATTAATATATATGTTGATTTAATTTTACTAAAAAGATGAAGAACATGAGAAAGTTCTCTTTTATTGGACCAAATCGCTACGTTAACATATTTTTTATAGTTACTGTCGATAAGTTATAGTAATGAAATAAATTTATTGATAATTACATTAATTTGATTTTGTACTGCATTCTTTTTTCTTGTGTGTGTGTGTTAAAGCATGGATTACAATATTTACTCTGTTATATGTATATATGTATATGTATGTGTTTGTGTATGTATGTGTATATGTATGTATGTATGTGTGAATATGTGTGTGGGAGGGGTGTGTGTATGTGTGTGCGTCTATGCATATATGTATTGTGTGTGTATGTATGTATGTATATGTAAGCATGTGTGTATGTGTGTGTATACATATATATATATGTATATGTATACTGTATATATATATATATGTATATGTGTATATATATGTTTGTGTGTATGTGTATATGTATGTGTGTATAAGTGATGTATTAACCAACTTACTTATATTATTAGTATTAGTATTTATTTTTATCTCTATTACTATTTTTGTAAACACTTTTTTTTAAATATTTCGTTCTTCCGCAGTATTTTCTTACTATATTTTATCACAGTAATTAAGTTTTTACTGATTTTGTTATTGTTGCACGTCTTTACGGCTGTGCCTCTGTTATAAAAGAGAAGCAATAAAGTTACTTACTTACTTACCGTTTGTTAAACATAAAAACTTAGGCTATATTACTGCAACATTATCAAAGATTAACAATTCTTTTTAGTAGTATTTTATTATTATTATTGTTATTAATTATTATTATTATCAAAGAGTTCATTGCAGTATCAAATGATGTTCTTACGATTGGTTTGGAGGCACGTTTCTTTTTATCGTTTTCATACGATATATATTTGAACACGTTATATTTTCATTGCGGATTTTTTGGGCTCAGTACGGACTCTAAATGTATGCATTTTCTTTTAGTTTTAAGGCGTATGCGGATTTTATAAGTCCGCAATGACGATATAACGTGTTTTTGGATCATGTTTATAAATGCTTCAATAAAATTTAGATTTATAAAATAAGTAGGCTTATAGTTAATTTAGCGGATTAGCTTGTCGTAAGTTGTTTTTTGTTTCTCCATTTACATTACCAAGTGTTCTATTTATAACAATACATAGGCCAATATAAAATAAATTAAAATATACTGAATAATGTTATAATGAAAATAAAGCAAATTATTGTATTCACAAGGCCGACAAAATCACTCATTGCATAGAAATTAACTAAAGAAATTATTAACTACAGTATACGGTAGTTTGAGGAAAGAAACGTTTGCAACAATTATGTTGAGGTGAAGCAGACACATGGTTTGTAACTTTTCTTGTTTGTTGTATTTCCATTGTCAATACATATTTTGATTAGGCATGTTTATAGAATACACAAATAAAAAGAAATAGTAAAATGTATAGTTTAATTAAAATTTATAGGCCTACAATGTTAATGGCTGTTTCAAGCTTTTTTTTAATATTAAATAAACCGGAAATTTCACTCACAAGGCCTATTGTTGCATGAAAACGCTATAAAAATCGGAAAGAAACGCCCACAAACAGGTTCGCACGGTACTCTTTAGGGCGAAGCAGACATCCTTTGTACGCCGTCTTCAGGGACTTGTCGGGGCACTACTGCAAAGAGTGAAGTAGGTCAGAGGATAAAATTAGACTGGCTATTTTTAGGTGCAAACACATGCCATATGGCAGTGAATGTGTACGCGTGTGTTCACCTCTCGTCTATAGTTCCGATTAAAAAAAAAATTATTCAACTTTGTTTAAGCTTTAATATTTCATTTACCGTATATGGACAGGGCCCCTGTCG